CGAGAGAAGACGAGGCGCAATGGCGTGAGATTGAATGAAATCGACAGCTGTGTCAATGCTGCGTTTCAGCGCTCTCCTGGCGAGAATGGATGGCGAGGAGGATTAGGGTGCGCGAATGGGAACTAGACAAGTGCATGCGGGGATGACAGTTGCTAAGTGATGGATTCCGCACAGAGGAACTGGGAAAACGGGCTTTGGGAAGTGTGGATAAACAGAGGGGAATGCTGAAGGCCAGGCTACGGGAAGCTGTGAGAATTGGCTTCTTTCCAAAAAAAAAAAGGAGCGACTAAAAGCCTCCATATTCCCGTAAGGAGTCGGCAGGTGCCTCCAGATGGGCAACCGAGAAGTTGCACTGTAACGGATACTGCAGCCGTAATTCTGCCACCAATTCACTCGGATCTAAACGGATTTTTTCAACGGACTCCCTCTGAAAACATGGATTTCCGTGTCCGAGTCCCTTCCAACTGCGCTTTCCGCTTATCGACGGTTCATAAAACGGCTCCTGCTGCGTCGTAACCGATCCATGCTGAAGCTGCGGCACGAACCCTTTTGCTTCAAACCCTGCTCCGATCGCACGTTCGAAGCGAAATACGACGAATAAAACGAAGACACACATAAGAGCAGAAGACCGCTGACCTACCGACAAACCCTAGCTGCAGCCAGCTCCTTCGGATCTATTCAGTGGCCTCGAAAGCCAGCTCCCTTGGTTATTTTCAGCCGTCTAAAGAGTCAATTGAACGATCGAAACGGGGCCGACGAGTTAGATTGTTGATCCGTCGATGTAACGTAATCTAGCTGCAGCCTGCTCCTTCGCCTCAGCTACCACAGCGATCTATCAGCCAGATCTAGCTAATCACAGCCAAGTACCGTCTCTCAACCAAAGCATGCAAACCGCCCTGCTGCGTTACTAGCTCTAGCCGTCACACCATCATTTGGTACCGCCGCAAGCTGAAAGCTGTGGAGAGACGTAGACGTCTGAAGGTGAGTTCTAAGAGGCGCGCCTGCACTTATACGGAACCGTAACACTAACCGTCTAAAGAAACGAGCCTGGAGGCCAATTCGTGCAGCTGACGTTTGTTCTTGCATCTTAAAGGCCGTACCTTGAGGTCGCTCCATGCAGCGGATTCGCTGATCAGCGCCTTGGTCGCAGTGGCAGTGGCGGCCTGCACGGGAAGGAGGGGGCAGAATAGTGAGGAGATCCGCAAACGGAAAACGAAGGTTGAGAGACAATCCAGGAAATAATTCTTGCAGTTTCAATCACAGCACTCGCGAATTTCAGACGCATCAAGACCAAATTCACGCATCCCGCCTACGCCAAGAGCGGCAGCTGGTTGGTCGCGAAACAATGGAAGAGGCTGGAAATTATGGAAGGCCTGGGACGGAGTGAAAGCGCACCATGGTTGGCTTGGGGGAGTTTGAGCTGGCTCGGACTGAGATCTGGCTTCGATCGAGCTTCGCTGGAAGCCTGCGAGACAAAAGACGGAGCCATGTTGCAGTATCAGTTAACTGCACATTTCATGGAATATGCTTGCAACATCCCCAAGGCTGGATCGATTAACTAGAATAAGGCCTTATGCGATATGATAATGCATGGAGACGAACAAACCTACGTCAGCTCAATGCCACCTATAGAGTGTCAGCTTCTTTAATTCGCTACGGGTAGACGGCAAAAACGAACCGTCGAAGCGACCATCGAAGAATTTTCAGCTGCTCGTGAAGTTCCGAAACTCGACAGCTGGAATCTAAAATCAATGCTCTGGCCTCTTCTAGAGTAACCACGACGAAACTCCAGTGGTAGATTTGGGAGATACAATTACACGACGCAAATCAGGCGAAAATGCGGGAGGACCAACCACCTAGAGAGATGACTAGTGCCGGTGCATTTGACGAGCGTCGCTTGATGAGATCTGTTCTCGAAAACGAATTCCACCGAACCCACCTGGAAAGATGGCTCGTGCGGGTGGATTCGAGCAGCTTCGCTCCTGACGACAAGCAGGCGACGCTGTTCTTAATATTATGCTTAACGCCGGATTGGAGCAAAGTGGAAACGCAAGACGCGCTTGCAGCAGCAGTACAAGTAATTTGAGCTGCAATATTCATGGCTTTCACTTATTTCACCCTAGAAGCTTCAAAGGGAACAGCACAGAGCAGGAGAGGGGTGAGGGGGACAGCTGTGAGGCTAGGTCAGGCAGGCCGCAGGGAGCAGCAGGAGCAAAGCAGCAGCACTGGTTTGTGCTCGACAATCCCAGGAATGAGGCAAAAAAGGCAGATTCTTGTAAAAAACTGAAGACAGCGAGGACCATTGGGAATGTCGTTCGCCAGTCCCGAGGCCTGGAGGCGCGGCCTTTAGGGAAGAAGTTCGGAAAATGCGGACCACGTGGCGCAGGGGATTTATTCCCTTCCGATCTGTGCGCATGTGACCCACACGACGGCTTGCCGCCGTGGCAGGTTGGGACCGAAAATGATTATATCCGCGTCAGGTGCCACGGGATCTAAACACTACTTTCTCAATACACGTCAGCCAGCTGTCGGGAAAGACCATCTGGATCCCGTCGTCAAGCCAGCATGGCGAGTTTTCTGTGGTCGCACACTGCTGAAAGCCGAGGTATCTCCCTGAACCACACATCGAGGGGGCTGGGCGCAACTGAGGTGGCAACCTCGTTGCCTCAAGCGAACTGTTCCCCTGCGACGTCGCATCGTTACATGATATTGTTACGGAATCATTGGCCTTAGAATAGAATGCCATACAAGGGAACGCTGCTTAGCTTGGCACCATTCAAGTTGCATCAAAGGTCCATGTACAAGAGGAACCCTGCACGACAGCGTTATTTCACTGCTAGCTAAAACCACATTTCCAAGCAAGTGGTAACTAGACCTAGTGGCTATAACACTACCACTGCGGGGGTGCTATCCCCGCCTCCCTTGCTGCCTCTCCTGCCGTTTTTGCTCTTGCAGCTGCTTCTTCAAAGCAACAAGGGCTTTACTGGTTTCACTACTGCCAAGAGCGCCTGAAAATCCCTGGGAAACTCCCCCCGCAATCGCTCCATTCCCCTGCTTTGCATGCTCTTGTTGCAATGCTTTACCAGGCTTTTGTTTATGCTCCTGCATCCCCTTCTCTTTGTTTTGGCCTTTGTTCTGTAGCTGCTGATCCTTGTCCAGATCTGTTAGTTCTTGTCCTGCAGTGTGCTTCTGTTTGTGCTTATTCTGCTTCTGCTGCTTTTTTCTGCGATGTTTCTGCATCTGCTCATCTCGTGCACTCCGGACAAGTGCAAGGCTTGAGCCATTGTCTTGAATGGTGCTGCCATTTGCAGCACCTTCTGCCCCTTGGCTGCTGGTGCTGCTGGGGCTGCTCCCACTGCTCTGGCTTATACTACTACTCATGCCACCACCGCCGCCGCCGTTGCTGCTGCTGCTGTTTCCACTGTTCTTATTGCCGTTGCTGCTGCTCTCTCTACGGTTTCCCCCAACATCTGCAGAAGCTGCTGAAATTAAAGAAGCCCCGCCAGACTGCTCTGCCCCTAGTGTCGTTGCCAGCTGTGCCTGCAGCTGCTCTCGCAAGCTCAATGAGTGCGGAGCAGCTTCCTGTGCAGTGGTGCTGGGGGTTTTCTTGCTTCTGGTGGTGTGCTTGGTGGGACTGAGAGAGTTGCTGCTGTGACTGGAGGGCGGTGAGGAGGCAGATGAGGAACTGTTGAAGGAGGAGGTAGAGGAGGTGGAGGAGGAGGAGAGCGAGGAGGTGGAAGAGGAGGAAGAGGGAGAGGTGGGAGTGGCGTTTAGTGAGGTCTTGTCATACTTCACCTGGATTATGCATGAGGAAGACAAGGGAGGGCATGCTTGGGTGCGTGAGAGCTCTCAGTCATGACGACACTTACCTGAAGGTCACCTGAGGGAGCCGAAGCTGAATAGTAAGGGTACTACTCATAATGTACTGAATCTAATAGGGGTATTACAACCAATGAACTTAAATTAGTCGGGCTACTACTCACAATGAACTTAAATTAGTCGGGGTACTACTCACAATATACTTAAGGTAGTAGGGGTCATCCTCTGCTGCTGATCTCCGCATCGCCAGAAGCCCCCGAAGAGTCTCTTGCGGGAGCTGATGCTCCAGCAGGCTGCGCTTGTACGTGCTGGTGGGTGGGAAGAGATGGGCAAGGTTAAGGGGAGAGAGCGAACGGATTAGGGGGAGCAGAGGAAAAGGTCTGAAAGGTCTCCTGGGGGAGCTGATGCTCCAGCAGACTGCGCTTGTATGTGCTGGTGGGTGGGAAGAGATGGGAGAGGTCAAGGGGAGAGAGGGAACGGGTTAGCGGAGTGAGAAAACGACCTGATTGGGGGACGCTGATGCTCCTGCAGGCTGCGCTTGAACGTGCTGGAAGGTGGGAAAAGATGGGGTTAGGGAGAAGGAGGGAAAGATGAGCGGAGCAGAGGAAAAGCTCTGAATGATCGCCTGGGGAAGCTGATGCTCTGCTCCAGCAGGCTGCGATTGTATGTACCGATGGGTCAAAGCTGGACAAGGCCTGGGAAGAAAGGGAACGGATAAGTGATGTTAGAATATAGCATGTATATGGCTAGAACTAATAGTGTACACCCAAATCATGGGTGTACACATTGAGGTGGTGAGCCAACATTGGTGGCCAACCCCCCTCAATGTTTGGCCCCTCCAATAATTGACTCAACCTCAATTATTGGGCTGGACCCTCACCACATTGGTCTGCCAATAATGGTGTGGGGTAGCTCTGATTTTGATCACTCTTCCCATTCCCTATATGTACTGCTCTTCTTTATCAATATACCAACTCTTGAGTTCACCCCTTCATCCCAACTATGGGATTCTCACATGGTATCAGAGCTATTTTGGCTAACGCCACCTTCGTCCTCCCTAGGAGATCCTCGGCCTCTTGCCGGCTTCATGGTCTTTGCCCCACCAGCCTGCTCTCCTCCCTCAGGCTTTTCCCCGTGGCATTTGAGGCGCTTGTATGCGCCGACCCGCGCGACGAACGCGCCTACCACTTCGCCCGTCGATTCCGCTTCCGAAGGCGTTTTGCCGTCAATCCCGCTCCCGAGGGCATTTCGCCCGTCAATCCCGCTCCCGACGGCATTTCGCCCGTCAATCCCGCTCCCGACGGCATTTCGCCCGTCAATCCCGCTCCCGACGGCATTTCGCCCGTCAATCCCGCTCCCGACGGCATTTCGCCCGTCAATCCCGCTCCCGACGGCATTTCGCCCGTCAATCCCGCTCCCGACGGCATTTCGCCCGTCAATCCCGCTCCCGACGGCATTTCGCCCGTCAATCCCGCTCCCGACGGCATTTCGCCCGTCAATCCCGCTCCCGACGGCATTTCGCCCGTCAATCCCGCTCCCGACGGCATTTCGCCCGTCAATCCCGCTCCCGACGGCATTTCGCCCGTCAATCCCGCTCCCGACGGCATTTCGCCCGTCAATCCCGCTCCCGACGGCATTTCGCCCGTCAATCCCGCTCCCGACGGCATTTCGCCCGTCAATCCCGCTCCCGACGGCATTTCGCCCGTCAATCCCGCTCCCGACGGCATTTCGCCCGTCAATCCCGCTCCCGACGGCATTTCGCCCGTCAACCTCGCTCCCGACAGCATTCATTCGCATCGTCACCACGCTTCCGCCCCCCCTTCCAAGGGCCATCCAGCCCACTTCCCCCCTTCCCCCTCGCTTCCTCCTCCTTCGGGCCATCCAGCCCACCTCCCCCTTCCCCCTCGCTTCCTCCCCCTAAGGGCCATTCCGCCCTTCTCCCCCTTCCCCCTTGCTTCCTCCCCCTAAGGGCCATTCCGCCCACCTCCCCATTCCCCCTTCGCTTCCTCCTTCGGGCCATCCAGCCCCCCTCCCCCTTCCCCCTCGCTTCCTCCTCCTTCGGGCCATCCAGCCCACCTCCCCCTTCCCCCTCGCTTCCTCCTCCTTCGGGCCATCCGGCCCACCTCCCCCTTCCCCCTCGCTTCCTCCTCCTTCGGGCCATCCAGCCCCCCTCCCCCTTCCCCCTCGCTTCCTCCTCCTTCGGGCCATCCAGCCCACCTCCCCCTTCCCCCTCGCTTCCTCCTCCTTCGGGCCATCCAGCCCTCCTCCCCCTTCCCCCTCGCTTCCTCCTCCTTCGGGCCATCCAGCCCACCTCCCCCTTCCCCCTCGCTTCCTCCTCCTTCGGGCCATCCAGCCCTCCTCCCCCTTCCCCCTCGCTTCCTCCTCCTTCGGGCCATCCAGCCCCCCTCCCCCTTCCCCCTCGCTTCCTCCTCCTTCGGGCCATCCAGCCCACCTCCCCCTTCCCCCTCGCTTCCTCCTCCTTCGGGCCATCCAGCCCCCCTCCCCCTTCCCCCTCGCTTCCTCCTCCTTCGTTTCCCTTCCACCGCAGCAGCCCTCCCGCTGCCGCCGCCGTCCCTCTTCGCCGCCGCCGCACCCGTCGGCTGTTGGGCTGCCTTCTCAACAGTCGCCCCCCTCTCTTCGGCTGGCATGCCGCGTCATCCGCCACATCTATTACCGGGTCCTCGCTTCAGGGGTTGTTTGGTCTAGCCATTCTCATGCTAAGGGGTTGTGTTAGAATATAGCATGTATATGGCTAGAACTAATAGTGTACACCCAAATCATGGGTGTACACATTGAGGTGGTCTCCCAACTTTTGGTTGGGTTCCGACAACCCAAGCGGCCATTATTGTTGGGGAGCCAACATTGGTGGCCAACCCCCCTCAATGTTTGGCCCCTCCAATAATTGACTCAACCTCAATTATTGGGCTGGACCCTCACCACATTGGTCTGCCAATAATGGTGTGAGGTAGCTCTGATTTTGATCACTCTTCCCATTCCCTATATGTACTGCTCTTCTTTATCAATATACCAACTCTTGAGTTCACCCCTTCATCCCAACTATGGGATTCTCACAAGTGACGCAAGAAAAATTCCTGGAGCTGATGCTCTAACGGACTGCGCTTGTACGTGTTGTTACGAGGAGGGAGAGATTCAAATGGGTGGGAGGAGGAAGGGAATGCACTGAGTGTTGTGACTGCAGGAGCTGATTCTTGAGCAGTATCTGCAGTAAGTGCTGTAGACAAGGGAAAGGGGGAGGGACCACAAGCAGGAAAGGAAGGGGCGAGGGGCGGAAGGAAGTGCTTTAAAGATTGAAGTAGCTCAGGGGGGTATGGGAGAATGAGAGGAACGACAGGAGGGCGAGGAAGCAGGGCAGAAAAGGATGGAGAGGAGGGCACATACTCTGCACTCTGTAGGGCTTCGTTTGGATCCCTGCGAGCATCCTTTAACTGCCGTACGAAGGGGACAGAGGAAGGACAGGAAGACGAGACGAATGTATGGAAGGAAATGAAACTAGAGAAGAAAGAGAAAAAAAAAACCCGTGGGCGCGGGCAAGAGCGTAGAAACATGTTTCCCACTGAGAGTTTGGGAGGAGAGAAGCAGCACAACGCTCTGCTAAATACATGTGATTGGATGCTCTGACACATGGACTACAAAGCTAATGACTACACAGTACCCGTGGATTACGTGGCTTGCTTTTGTAAAGCATGCTTTGAATATATTCTCTGATACTTCTTAACAAGGAAAGATTGATCTGGCCGGCTTAGCTTGACATGAGGAGGTGAAGCTGCATGCATAAAGACCAGGCATGCCTTCTGCGTGAAAACATGTTGTCTTTGAGATGGAAAAAAAGGAAGATAGTAAAGAAGTGGAGTGTTTTTGAGAAAGGGTGAGGCGACATGAATGAAGGGCAGGGCAGGCATACCTCCTGTATAAAAGCGGTTGAGCTCTTGACATAGCCACCCTGGATAATTGCACAACACAAGGGATTGCGACAAGCAAGGTAGGGTTTGAGAAAGTGGGGGAGCAAAGGGGTGGTTCGAGTTCTTGACAAAGCTACCCTTGAAAACTTGCAGGATATAAGGAATTGTGACAAGCGAGGGTTGGGTTTGGGGGAGTGGGGAAACGAGAGGAGGAAGGGGGAGGGAGGGGGGGGGGGGGGAGGGAGGGGGGTTAGGGTTGAGTTTTTAACATAGCCATCATTGAGGAATTGCACATAAGGAATTGCAGCAAGCAGGGATGGGGTACGGGGGGGGGGGGGGGGGAAGGGGGATTTTGAGACGTCTCACCCTGGAGAGAACAGCCAGTTTCAGCTGAACGTCTGATGTGATCACGGTGATGTACGGTGCAGTGCGGTGCTGCATGAGACTGGAAACCTGGTGAAAGTCAGGGAGAGGGAGGAAAAAAAGAAAGAGGGGCGACAGAGGATGAAAAGCGAGTAAGAAAGGACGACACGGGGAACGGGATCTAAGAGTGTACAGGAAGTGGCCAAATGGTGGGCACTTGGCCACAGTGTGAGGGTTTGCTGACGCAGAGTCAGTTTGCATGAGGCTATAGCATGAGCCATGCCATGCCATCCCATACGATGCCATGCCATGCCATACCATGCCATGCCATGCCAAGCCAACCATAATGTAAACCACTTAAACCATGTCATCAAGTGGTTTTCGAGACACCTAGAGGAATAGCTGATGTGGACTGGTGTGATCCAGTCACAATCGCCTATTCGCGCCAATTTTCTTAATGGGTACTTCCAATGCATGTACGTACTACCATGCACATAGTATGTGGAACCTTTTCTCTAATTTGTAGGGTTATCCAATAGAGGTGTACTAACTGACCTCCTTCTCAATCCACTCGTCTGCTGAGATGCCATTGGAGAATGCCACGTCCACACTGACACCTCAGCACATGAAGAAGGACACATCAGCACAAGGAATAACTGCAGTTGGATAAGGAAATGTTTTGATGCATAACAAGACAGACGAATGTGGGGCGTGGATGGATGGACTGAGGTGGTATGGGATGGGATGGGATGGGATGGGATGGGATGGGATGGGATGGGATGGGATGGGATGGGATGGGATGGGATGGGATGGGATGGGATGGGATGGGATGGGATGGAATGGGATGGGACGGGACGGGACGTGATGGGATGGGACGGGATGGGATAGGATGGGGTATGGCAACATGCTGAAGACAGAAAACATACCCATACCATACGCGATACAGAGACATGCGTACCAAACGTAGTTACATACCCATACGACAAGATGCGGTCGTTACCCGGGCTGTTGGAGTTGTATCCATCGAATACCACCAACACCCGCACATCTGCACAGGTTTGTATGTCTTTCAGGGATCCTGAAATACTACCTAGTGCGTAGCTGAAATCCAAATATAGAAGAAAGGTTTGTCAGTCCCCAATTTCACACCCCCTGTTCTCCCAGACACACTCACATGCTCTCAAAATCGGAGTATTCTCCTCTAATGTCGTAGAAATCAACCGGATGAGCAGATGCACCAGCCAGCTCCGCACCCCCACTCCCTGCTGCCGCTCGTCTCTCCGACTTTGGCAGTTTCTTCCGCCTGAACCTGCTTGGAACCTTCTCGTCCCCATCCTTGCGCTCTGCTGCAAAGGCCTGGAATAAGATGGGGGATGCAAATGCAACCAGATTCAGATGGCATCGGTGGGAAGGGGAGGGGGGAGGGGGGGAGGAGGATTTCGCTTCGCAACGAGGGGCAACTTCTTCATCGTCTCATTCAACCCCCCCACAAAGTGGTACTTTCGTCCCAACTTGGGGTGAATGTTCGTACCTTCAAGAATCCCCCTGTATGGATGCGCGCTTGACCAGATTCACCCCATCCGCATCACCTCAATCTGACTGGGACAACTATATAGTCGGGTCCTTCTTTGGGTTCCGTCAATTCACGTTACAAGGCGCACCTTCCAGAATTTCTCGGTTCGTTTGCTTGCTCGAAGTATGTCTTCGTCTTCATCGCTTCCGTAGTATTTCGTCAAATACTCTTCCATGAGCGGATCCTCACTACTAGTGCGTTCTTTCTCTGTTGTCTGACGTGAGGCCGCGCGAGAAATTACCTGTGAGAATCGGGAAGGATAACGAGGAGCGCATTAAGACTTTACAAGAAAATCTTAAAGAAAGAAAAGAGAAGAAATGAGATTCCAGGTCGTAAAGCACGCAAGGAGCTGATCATACCTGCGATACGGGCTCTTTGTTGACAGGCGTCAGGCCCTTGAGAACAGAAAACGGCGAATTCACCGCGCTATTCTTCTCTGTACCATCGGTTCTTCCGTTATTCGTGCTCATCGAGGAATCGCTTCCGAAATGAGAGTCATGATGCTTTTGTGAGCCGTTCTTTTGCCTCCGCTGACCAGCTCGGACTTGAAAACTATGGCCATTAAAGAGTAGTTGTCGGGAACGACAGTGACTCTTATGCGCGTGTCGAACGTCCTTCAAACGAAGAAATTCTTGTCTACCGTGCAGCTCGGGTAGGGCCTTGAGACCCATGAGTGAGTGTGGCCGTGTAACCCTACTGATGGTAACTATCAAGTGCTTCTTCTCTTGACTATCTTCCGTTCTTTCTGTTAGCAACCGCGAGGAAGCAAGCTACGGATTCGCGGTCGAATACTAAAATTGACGAAATTCCTGGATTGATATTTTACGAGAAAAAGCAGACGTGGGATAGCTCGAAGTGATAACTTCCTCACGTAGGACTATGCATGAGAAATTGGACAGTAGTCACACGTCGGTAAGATGATTGTCAGCAGACCCGCAGTTCACGGCTGACAGCAGCCGAAGCAGACTGTAATTGAAAACAATGTACGAATTACTGTCGCCGCCATTGTTGTCATTTCATGTAGCAATTGTCATTTTCACACGAACAAGTGTGGCCATAGCTCAATAATGGCCTACCCAACCGCCTAAACTCTAGAGTGATGATTCCTGTTGCTCCCTCAAACCAACCAACCCAACGTCAGGAGGCTGACTGGCGGGAGAATCAATTTCCCACCTCGGAAATGATACACGACTGGTGGAGCCTTGAAACCTCCACCTCCGATTTGGAACATCGGCCAATGAGTCGCGAGATTGAACATCACTATCGAAGTGGTGTTGACACGGACAGGTGCCTGATTGGAGTCACGAGACTTGTGACCACCAGATGCGCGTACTCTCTACTAGTGTATTCAAATCTGAAGGTACAGTACACTAGTGTTCGACGGAAAAACTGCACGAACAGCAGTTGGTTGCTATGAAGACATGCAACCAGTTCAGGGGTAAAATCAGGAATATCAGCTATTTCTGCGTATGTTTTGGCCCTACAATCCTGAGTAAGGACCCATTTTCTCAGGCGGAACTTCAAACCTGACGATTCTTACCTAATTGCCAGTGGTCGGATCAGCGAATTCTTCACTCTGCCGCGCCTATTCGGAGCGCTGTTACTACTAGAGGCAACTCTCACTGCACTCACATCGACGCGAATATCTCCACTTCCATCATCGCTTATTCGGCGATACAGGATTTGGAAACACGTCTGGTTTCCAATGCCACAAGGCAACTTTGAGGCCCTGAAATCACTTCTGATGTAGTTGATCTGAGCTCCCTTGAGCTAACCGAGTAGGTTTAAGTGCTTTCAAGCTGCTCAGAGGGATTATCAGCAGCACTAGCTCATTAGACCTAGAAACTGGTACTGCGAGTTATTACAAGTCCGTGCGAGCTAACAGGGAGCCGCCGCGTCGGCACCATGGAAGCGATCTCGTCATGTCATCGGTGCGGCCGATTAGGTCATTTGTCCAGGGACTGTAACATCAAGACGTGCTTCAAATGCAACGGGTACGTGTAGGTTTATGAACGTCGTCCCTCTTCAACGTCTCTCACTCTCTTGTTATCGCCTTTCTTTCGTCACTTCCTTGCGTCTCTATATTTCACATTCTATGCAGCCCCCGTCTGTCATTCATACCCACTCTCATCCCTGTTTCGTCCCTCTATCTTGCCCAATCCCTCTCTTATTCCCTCTCTCTCGTCCCTTCTCTCATCCTTACCGCTATGCTGCACCCGTTCCTGCACGTACTCTTCTCCGCGCTCCTCTTGCCATGCATGCTTATATGTTTGGGGGGGAGGGAGTAGCTGGGAGCACGTGGCGTGGGAATGCACAAGTTCAATGAGAAGCAAATAACCTCTTCCTCTCCGTCTCTTCATCCTACTTTGCTACACCCCTTTCTTATTGTGCTCTCCTGTTGTGCACGACCGATCGTGCACGTGGTGGGTGGGGGGAGTAGCCGGGGGCACATGGCATGGGAATGCACAGCAGGCGTCACTTGCAGCATCTGCGGTCAAACAGGTCATCTTCAACGTAACTGCCGCAACGTTTCCTGCCACAAGTAGGTGCTCTTTCCTGGGTTGACGGTTCAAAGTATAGAACAAGTCATCTTCAGCATCTGTGGCCAGACGAGTCACCTGCAGCGCAGCAGCAACATCTCCTGCCATAAGTAGGTGCAATATCCCGGGTTCAAAGTCTAGCTGGAATTTGAGGCAAACTCAGCATCTGCAGCACCAGCCGGGTCATCTCGAACGCAACTGACGCGACGTATCCTGCCACAAGTAGGTGGCCTTATCCCCTGATTTTAGTGTTTCGGGTTTAGCTGATAGATAAGGCACCTTAAGCATTTACAGCACATGCAGCATCTGCAGTGCAATATCTGCGACCAGAAGGGCCAACTCCCACGGAAGTGCCGCAATGTTTCCTGCCTCAAGTACGCTACTTCCCCTTCTTGACTCAGAAGGCACGTGCAGCATTTGTCACAAGGGCCACATTTCCAAATTCTGCAACGACCCATTCAAAAGAATGGTCTGATCGTGCACCAAACAATCGTCCCCCACCCCCATCCCTGCCGCTGTCCCTACTCCTTTTTGTCTGCCTCCCCTTGTCACTCCCATGACGTCAGGTGTGGTCGCAAGGGCCATATTTCCAAATTCTGCAACGACCCATTTGCCAGGGTAAGACTGAGATAGGTATGGATAAGACATAGAGTTGAGGCTGAACAGTCAAGAAAAGCAGGGTGCATGCCCTTTTCGCATGGCCAATGGTGCATGCAGTTTGTTTGTTTGCTTGTTTGTTTTGTATTGTTTCTTTTGATTTTTTTTTTTTTTTTTTTTTTTTTTGGGAGGGGGGAGAGAATGTTTGCATTTGGTATACATGCCGTCATTTTCATACGACAGTACTTGCATAGGTTACGTTTCTTCTTCGCAAACACACGGACAAGCACACTGGACAACACACAGAATCAGCATGGCCGTCTTTGCTCCCCTCCTCCTCTTTGCGATGTCCTCTCTGCAAATGGGACATCTTGAATTTACAATCTTGAAATGTGACAGAACTTGACGGTGAGATGTCTCGATTTGACAACTATTTCATTAGTTATGCGGTGCCCTCTTTTCTCTACTCCACAGGCAGCAGAGGCTGAGCGCATGGAAAGGCAGCAGGCAATCATGTCTGCAAGAGCAGCTCAGACTCAGAGACACATGGCCCGGCGATCTGTCATCCAAGCCACACCGCATGCCCCTGGTAGGTAGCTGCTACAGTCTTGGTCAATTGTAATGTAAGCAGGCATTCCTGTCAGCAAGGGCAATCATGTGTGTGAGGGCAGCTCAGACTCAGAGGCACATGGCGCGGCGATCAGTCATCCATGCCACACCGCATGCCCCTGGTAGGTAGCTCTTGCTCTCATGGTCAACTGTATGGCAAGAAGGCAGGCAGTGGTGTCTCAAGAGGGTGGCTTAGGCTCGAACACACCTGGCCGGGCGGTCCTTCGCCCATGCTACGTCATGCCTTATACCCCTGGTTGGTAAGCAAGTGGCCCTGGAGTTACCCTTCCTGTCTTGATTCTTAAGCAGCCTACCTGCATTCTCGTTCTCTCCTCTCTCTTACTCTCTTTCTTTCGCCCGTCCGCCCTTCCACCAGGCAAAGGCATGACCACAGCATGGGACGGGCTAGGCCGAGCCGTGCCGCATATTCTCGTTCGTGTCTTAATGCTCAGCTCCATGGCTGGCCTTCTTATTGTTTTCTCTATCTCTTTGGTTTCTAATCTTCCACCAGGCAAAGGCATGACCACAGCATGGGACGGGCTAGGCCGAGCCGTGCCACATACCCCTCCTGTCTTGATTCTCAAATCGCCCCCCGCTGCTAAAGCTGCTGCCAAGGGAGCCCATGCTGCGCCTTCAGGTCTTAGCTCCACTCCTGCTCTTCCTGCTTCTCGTTCTGTTGGCGCTGCTGGTGTTTCTGGTGCTGCTGGTGCTGCTGGTTCTGCCGGTGGTGACGGTGTGAGTGCAGCAGTGGTGGGAGGGAAGAGGAAGGTGGAGGAGGTGGAGGATGGGGCGGGCGGTGGGCTGAGAGGGTTGCTGGCGTATGGCTCAGATGACAGTGACGAGGAGGATAATAAGGAGGATGCAAGGGAGGATGAGGAGCGAAGGGAGGTGGAAGAAAGAAGGGAGGAGGCTACGAGGGAAGTGGAAGCAAGAGAAGGGGAGGAACAGGATGAGAGGTTAAGGAATGCTGCTGGTGCTGCTGATGCTGCTGGTGCTTGTGATGCTGCTGATTCTGATCCTCCTGGTGGTGCTGCTGGTGATGCTTCTGTTAGTGCTGCTGGTGGTGCTGCCAGTAGTGCCGCTACTGATGCTCCTGGTGGTGCTGCTGCTGGTGCTACTGCTGCTGATGGTAACAGTGGTGGTGCCGCTGGTTCTGTTGGTGATGGAGATTGTGGTGCTGCTGCTACAGGTGCTGATGCTGATACTGGTGTTGCTGCTAGGGCTGGTACTAGTAGTGTGACTGCTGGTGCTGCTATTACTGGTGATTGATTGTCACTCTGGTTGTGCTTCTGCTGCTGGGAGGAGAGCTGCCGATGTTGCTGCTCCTGTAGCAGCAGCTGCTGCTGCTGCTGGTGCTGCTGGGGGTGGTTCTGCTTCAAATGGCGATGCTGATGGTGGCGGTACTATATTATAATGATCCTGACCTGCTGCTGCTGTTCGTACCAACAATCTGTATTGATGGTTGATGTGCAATCCACCTAGAAGAGGATCCGGCAAGAGCCTTAGAGTGTGTTCCTACGGCCTCCTGTCAGGCCAAACTGATATCAGCTTCAGCAAGACTCGAGATTTTCGTTATAACTCGCTGATGTCATGAGCAAAGAATCTAATATTGCGCGACAAGAGTTCACCCGCGAGAAGTTTAGACGTGGCGCAACAGAAATCCACGTCAATCCATCACCCTGAAAATGCGAGAACGCAGCTGTGTGTTTTGTCTAGTATCGGGC